AGGAGTATCAGTACAAAAGTGAGGCTACAAACCACCTTTCTAAAAAATTAAAAATTAGAAGTCTCAAACACTCTAACTGCTCTCACGGTCGTCCTCCACCTTCTCCTCGTCATCCTCAGCATCATCAAAGCTCCCTCACTATCATCAGTAGGTACGAAACCTAAGAAGTCAATATCAGAAAAAGCAGCAGAGATCTTCTCTCGGAGCTCCTCGTAACCATCAATGAAAGTATCTGCGAGGCCATTCTCCAAGTCCACCTCAGCACGAAAAACATTCTCTCGAGCGGCCTCCGCCTCTGCCTCCGCAACAGCCTCTCTGAGCATGGCCCTCTCATGGACCTCTGCAAGCTCAGCCTCCCTGATCGCGTTCTCTCGTGGATCGCCAGAAGCTCAACCTCAAGCTTAGTTGCCCATTCACGGGCCTCAATAAGCTCACCCTCCCTAAGCACGTCCCTCTCACGGGTCATCAAAAGCTCAGACTCAAGCTTAGATGCCCTCTCATGAGCCGCCACAAGCTCATCCTGAGAAGTACTACTAGCTGCCTCGAACTTGGCAATCCTCCCCTGAGCTATAAGAAGCTCCTTTTGCACGACGTCAAGATCCAGCTTCAGCTTGTCGTGATTATAGGCCTTTGAAATCAAGCAGATAGATGAAGTCGAAACTCGAAAAAGGTAAAAGGTGGAGAGGTGACAAAAGACATAAGAAGGAAGTGGAGAAAGGGAAATAGCAGACCCTTACCAGAGCTAGGCCTTCCAAATATGTGTTGACAACCCTTTCAGTGCCCAAAGTACTAAGCTGACAGACTTCAGGTGCAAACACAAACCTCCCAAGCCTTTCTTTGATAACTGGCAGTCTACCCAGCATGGGACCAAACCAAGTTGATCCTCTTATGGAAGTTTCCACATGAGGAGGGGATAAAGGAGGAGTAGAAGGTATGGCCAGCAAGGAAGACTCCAAAGCAGCAACTGGAGAAGTCGTCGGCTGAGGAGGCACCACAATAGAAGTCATTTGGGGAGCATCACCCGTCTTTGCCACCTTGGAAGAAGGAAGGCTCCTACTGAAATAACGAGACACTACCACCCACTTATTTGCTGCAAAACAACAAAGTGTCACGCAGATGAAAAATACCAAGGGAAGGAGGAAATTAAAGGAGGAAATCAACTCACCCTTTTTCTTTGAAAAGGAGCCATCAGATTTCAGAGAAGGAGCAACGACCCCAGCAGCCTTGGGCGGAAGAGCTACCAAATCTTTGTGAGGGCAAGCCTTGACGGCTTGCAACTTCCACTTTTGGTCTTGAGAGAGCACAGACATGTCGGCAAAGTAACGGTGAGCATACATACATAAAAAAAAAAAGAGCAAATATGCGGTGTACCGGGTTTTCTAGTATCACCCCCACCGTATTGGCACCAAGGCTTTGTCGACTTCTACAGCCCACTCTCCATTGACAAAGAAGAAGCGAGATTTCCAACCGTGGCAATTGGAGCGTAGTCCCGTAAGCACGTACCACTTATTGTGGTAAAATAATACCACCCCCTATTTGATGCAAGAGTTTCACTCAAATTGTAAGTTGCATGAAACTCAACAGAAGCAGCATCTTCATGATGCACTTTCCTCCATAATACAAGAAAGTCCAGCAGAACTCTCCAACCATTAGGTGCTAATCGCCCTAGAGTCAAGGAAAAGTAATGCAAAATACGGCAAATGGGAGAACACATGGGGAATCTTAGCCCAGCCTCAAGTATCTTCTTGTAAACAACAACATCACCAGAGGAGTCATCGCAAGCAAGCTCGCCCGTCTCAGCCTGGCGACATAGCATAGTCGGAGGAATACGATAAGCAGAAACAAGCCTCAAGATATCTTCATCCGAATTGAACAAACTAGAAAGGGTACTCACCTTAGACCCATCATAATCAAGTCCCATTTTTCCTTTGCGCTTCTTCTTTCAGGGCCGTAAGGAGTGGTCTAAGCCACCACCTGGGAGGTCTTGAGGGATTTGGCTTTAGGAAGTCACACTTGGAGGAGTCAAATTGTGATCACCAAAAGCGGCACCCAAAGCTTCCTTGTAGCCTACGGTGTTTTAGCCCAACACCTGGAGGGGTGCCTGATGCTCTATGCTCGCCTAATCAAGGCAGCCCAGCACCTGGAGAGTTGCCTGACGCTCTATGCTCGCCCAAACGAGGCAGCCCAGCACCTGGAGAGGTGTCTGACCACCTTTGCAGCCCAGCGCTGCCTGGCCCTCCAAAGTTGCACAAAACAGCTCCAAAGGCGCCCAGAACAGCACCTGAAGTGGCTCCCAGATCTGCCCCTACGCCCAGGCTGTTGCCCAGCTCCCCTGCTGGCTTGGGTAGCCTCCTTTTTGGCATGCACGCAGTTATCCAGCTCTCCAGTCTGCACGCCCAAGCTGCCCAGTCCGCCTGCCTACGCGTCTGTGCTGTCCAGCCCCCCTGTCTGTGTGCTTGTGTTGTCCAGCCTGCCTGTCTACACGCTTGTGCTATCCAGCTTGTCTATTTGTGCTCCCAAGCTGTCTAGGACAGTATTTTCGGCACCTGGGCAGCCCCCTGCACTCCCCCTAAAGGAAGAAAACTCCTATAAGTTGCCCAAACCAGTGCCTAAAGTGGCGCCCTGTTCAATGCCTAAGGTAGCGCCTACCACCTTCCTTCCTTCGATCTCCACCATTTCAATGAAATTTTGTACATCTCCCTCTTCAATCGACATTGCCCACTTAGATACTCCACTAAAAAGGAAGAAATCCCATCAGACACTATGATAATAAAATATTGTAACTTCTCCAAACTTACAATTCAAAACTCAAATATAGGTAGTTGTGGAATAATTAAATCTAATGAAAACATTGTCTCAGGAATAGTTTTTTCAGGTGGCTCTATGTTACTTAGGGGTTTCAATCGTGTCAGGTTAAACGGTTACGTGTCGGGTTAAACGTATAAACCCATACATGACACGCTTAATAAACGGGTAAAAAATTTCAACACGAACACGACCCATTTAATAAACGGGTAACACAACACAACTCGTTTAACCTGTTTAATTTTTAAAAAATTATTTCAACAAATTTTAATACTCTATTTTTTTTTACTATTAATTGCACTTATTTCAAAAAAGAAGAATTTTAAATCAAATCTCATAAAAATAAGACTTGAAGGCTTTAAAAAAAAAACAATAGACTATTGTCTTTTATAGGCAACTCACCCTTTCCATTTCCCCTCATTTTTCAATGTGGGACAAAACAAAAGACATTGGTTTGCCTTTATCTTTGAAGTGTTCTACAATTCCTCTCATTTGTCTTTGAAAAATAAGACTTGAAGGCTTTAAAAATAAAAGCAAGAGGTCATTGTCTTTTATAGCCAACTCAACCCTCTTTATCTCCCCTCATTTTTCAATGTGAGACAAAAACAAATGACATTTGTTTGCTTTTGCCTTTGAAGTGCTCTCCAACTCTTCTCATTTGTCTTTGAACTAGTACTTTACTTTTTTTTTATTGATTTATTTACTTCTTTTTTCTTGCTAATTTTTTAAAATAATTATTAATTTATTATTATATTAATTTTATTTAAACAAGTAAACGTGTGATAAACGTTTTAACAGGTCTCACCGGAACACGACCCATTTATTAAACGTGTTTGGCGTGTCAACCCGTTAAGATCTCACCCAAACCCGTTTAATTCGTGTCTGTTAATCGTGTCGTGTCGAATTTTGACAGCCCTAATCATGGCATGTTCTTAGATCAAGACTACCGATTAAATTATTATCTACTCCCATGCTGGATAGAAATATTTTCAATCAAACCTCAAACAATTTTTGTACATACAATTCAATTAAAACTTGAGCCAATTTACATATTAAAATTCAAACCCATTAAAATTCGTTTTTCTACAAATATTTGAGACGATTGAGCTGATTAAATTTTATTTATTTACGAATTTTAAGTCTATTAACATGAAATTGAATGTTAATTTGAGTATTAATTGGAAGAATTTGCATATTACTTTAATATTGATTTGATAAATTAAAATTTTTTTGGATGATTTAGGATATTAATTTAATGAATTGAGTGTTAATATGGTGAAATTAAATATTAATTTGATGAATATAATATTTTTTGAAAGGAAAGGAAGGAATATAATGTTAATTTGATGAATATAATGAATATAATGTTGACTAATTGAATTTCAATGTTAATTTAACAAATTAAATGTTTATTAAATGTTAATTTGATGAATTGAATGCTAATTCAATGATATTTAATATTAATTTGATGAGTTCAATGTTAATTGGATAAATTTGGAGGTTAATGTGATGTCAATTTTCTAAATTTCATGTTAATTGAATATTTCGTAGATAAAATTGAAAACATTGATGTTTTAGATATCAATATGAAAAAAATGTCCATCTTTAAGGGTTAAAAATGTTATTAACCAATTTGGAAATCAAGATCTTTGTCCTGGCCGATCCTTGTTTTTCATTATCGATCCTAATTTAGCAATAGGTTAATAAAAGTTTTATCCTGAAAGTATGGCCGTTTTATTAATTGGGCCCCAAAGTATGAATTTTGTAAATTTTATCTCCAAAATATTTAATTAAAATGTAATTAACAAATTAATATTACATTTAGACATTTAATTCATGTAAGAACCACATAAATCGTGGTTACTATAATGCGTAATTGACGCACGGAGTAAAACAAACAACCATGTTTACTGGTTTTTTGTGTCTTGAATATATATATATATATATATATATATATTATGAAATTGTCAATATAAAAATAATTATTTTATATTTTTTATTAATATTTGAATTACTATTCAAATATATATTTAGACTGTCCAAACAGGTTTTTTATTTTCTGTATTATAAAATTATTTTTGAAATCATTTAATCAAACAAGTTTTTTATCTCAAAAAATATCAAAACAACTTTCTAAAAACTCTTCTCAAAATTGTTTTTGGATACTGTTTTTTTGAAAGAAAAACCAAACAAACAGGCCATCATTTCTCCACCATTGTTGGATTCCATGATCTTGGCAGAAAACACGAACGGGCCGATTAATAGTGACATTCGCAGAAGGAAGGAGATGTACTGGTTCTTTATCAGAGACTAGAGCACGTACTGAATTCTGCGTAACAAGCCTCTCAATTGCTCTAAAACCTTTCTTTGTCATCTTTTCCCAGCCCTCAAAATATCCAATATACTCTGAGCAAATAGGGTCCAATGGGTTCACATATAACTTTGGAACCCATTCAGATAATGTAGTGAATAGTTGAGCTTGGTCGGTTCGTTGACGGGGCCTAACCAAAGCAACTGTAGCTTTGCTAAAGTTATCTATGAAGTGGGCTGCATTCTTTACCTTTTCACTCTTAATAGACCCTATAGGGGTAGAAAGGAATGGCGGATTGAAGAGGTAAGTTTCGAGATAACAACCTTCTGTAACCATGTTCCTTCCCACCAACAAAGCTATTGCGGCACCCAAAGAATGCCCTGCTAACCAGATATTCACAGGGTTAGTATCACCAACTAAAGCAACCATTATTTGCACAGCTTGCCATGCAACAAGAAATCGGTGACTCTTTTCTAGTGTGTTGAAAAACAAACGAACATCCGACTTGATATCCTTTACCACGGTGGCTGGTTTGAGGATGTTTCCTCGAAAGGCAATCACATATCTTGGTGGCTTCACGGGTGAATGGAAAATGTGAGAATCTAGATATTTGTACTCGTAAATAGCGCCAACTATGGAGGCATCATCATCAGAAAGTAGTGGCTCTGCTCATTTAAAATCAAAGTGCTCCCACCAGGCATTATCAACTTGAGACCCTTGGCTTTGGCGTTCACGTTCTTGGTTGTACACACCCATAACCAAGCTGGCAGCTACGGTTCTTAGGTCACGTTTGTTGTTCCTGCAACAATGTAGCGTCAAATCATGTGGTCAAAATACCTTGAAAATAAGGGTAATTCTACCATAAAAAAAAAAAAAAAAAAAAAAAAACTTAGGCATCACTGTGAAAGTTATTACTTTTTAAGGTCAAAATACACCTTTTAAAAGGTGAATAATAACTATTTAAAGTAACTTAATGATTGATAGTAAATACCTCTAATGAGTTGTAATTTCACATCTAAAAAGTGTATCTTAACCTCAAAAAATAATAATTTCACATTTACAAGTTATAGCTTCTATCGTCTTTTCAATTGTAAATTCTACTTCAAAAAATTATAAATTTCAGTACCATAGTCTTCCTCTGAAGATGAAGTTGATTATAACAACCTACTAGTATAGTCCCGTGCGATGCACGAAATTTACTTTTATTCTTGATTTTTCTACAATTTTCTATTCCATTACTTGAGATATTGGATAGGAATTATAATAAGTTACTAATAATCTTTGTATAAAATTGGTAAGTGTTGCACAGGGTTGATAAGAAGACTTGGATAATCAATGTGCTACATCGGTTATGAAGAACCAAATGAAAAGATGTGTGTGGGTTAAAAACTTAATTGGACGATTAAAGATACACATAAATAAAGAGAATGAGCGTGGATAAATCGGTTGATTGATGATGAGAAGATGCAAATAAATGAAGAGAATGAACTTTGCTAAAGTGGTTGATTGAAGATGAGAAGAATTGGATGGAATGAGCATGAAAAGCTTAGGCAATAATCTTTTCGGTTTGATAGTTATAACTAGAGAACTTGAAGAGGTTTATGAACATACTTATATGATCCTCACTGAAGTTAGGATGAAGAGCTTAAGCAATAATTATGTTGCTTGAGAAGAAGATTTGAAGGATTTTAAAGCAAAGGAGTGAAAGAAACAAGCTAAGGATGAAGCATACTTAAATTAGTCAATTTGACATAGAATCGATTATGTTGACATGATGTTCTACTCAAATGTCCAATTGACTTGTTTCTTTTGGAATTGGAAAGAAGACTTCAAGATCTACAAGTGTTTTTTTGAAATATCAATTTTTATATTTGAATATATTCAAGGTGAAAAATGGCATGGAAGTTGAAGGTAGTGCATATACGATGACAATCAGGAAAATAAAAAATATGCTCAGTAACTGGGATATAACTTTTTACTCTGATATCCAATTGACCTGATGAAAGCATACTTGAAAAGGATATTTTAAGGGCTACAACTTTGTCTGAAATAGTCTTTGTCATATTCGATTGTCTTGGGGATCAAAATTGGCTTGGAAGTGGAGGGTAGTGCATATCACCAGACAAACGGAAGGGAGATCTGGAATTTCGGATGAGGGATCCAGACTTCTACATCAGGATTTTGGATAAGGATCTGGATTCTAGACGCAACTCTAGTAGACAACCCAAAATTTTTTTGGAAATCATGAAGCCTTCCAGAAGTCTATCGAAAATTTCGGAAGGCCTTCTGGATTTGTCCATAAGAGCATCTAACGGCTAGTTTTTTGCCAACTCCTCTCATGCATTTGCCTCCACTATAAAAAGGAAGGAAGACTTTTTGATATGTTCTTGGGGACTTCTTGGGCATTCAAAGGGCGATATATATATTGAAAAAAAGTCTTTATTGTGAGATCCTGGTTAAGTGACTTATTGTGATATATTCTTTTCTCTTGTTGAAATCTTTTGAGTAATTCTTGTTCGTAAAGAGAGGAGACCATTATTTTATTGAGTGACCTTAAACTTATTTTGATTGAGCTTAATTTTGTAAATGTATGCCTTTACCCGTCAAAGAAGACGAACGTTGTAAAGTGTTTAACCTTTAGCATCATGTTTGAGTCAAACTTCTATAAATCGTGTGTATATTCCTTTTCTTTACTCTATTTATTTGCTATACATCATCACACATTGCATATAGCTTCAATCTTCATTCATCATTCTAGTAAGCAATTTTACAAATCATAAAATTTTCTTTAAAAGAGAATTTAAAATTAGTCATTAACTCACACAATCTAATTCACCCTCCCCTCTTAGGTTTTTTTTGGGCCAACAAAGCTGGCCCAAATAATTTAAAAAAAAAAAAAAACTTAAATAGGTAGTAGTTAATTGGGGGGTAGTTATATGAAATACGTGGTATAATATGATTTGATAAAATATTGGGATGTAATTAAATAAATGAATTTTTTTTAATGGAAAAAAAAGAGAGAATGAGGAGGAAAGGCATCCCAATTCCTATTCCAACTAATTTGTTTGTAATATTATATCATATAGATAGGCCAAAACCATCTTGTAAAGAATAATTCAGGCAATAAAAACTCCAATAAGATGTGGTTTCAGTTTAAATTCACCAAATTTTTATTCGTTTCACCTAAATTGTTAAAATGGTAAAACCATGGGCAATAAAGAGTAAGAATTGTGTGACAATCAAGATGCCTAATTCTACCCTTCCTTCTCTTGCAGGATGGGGATGACCTTACTATTTTTATTTTTGGTTATACTAAGATCAGTAAAATCCATTACCATAAACTGGACCAGGAAGATATCTAGTATAACGCAGTGGTAGAACTTCCAGCAAGATTGGAATTTCCCAACAAAAGCATAATAATGTATGGAATGTGAAACAATTAAGCAAACCATAGTATGGTCGTAGAACATTCTTACCAATCAATAGAAGTAATGTGTGTTGGCCCCGAAGACTTGAAAGGTTCTCCCCGAGAGGTCTTTAAACAAGAAAAATCCATTTTTTGTGTCTTCTTGATATTTTGAAAGAGACCTTTGTCTTCTCTGCAAATTAAAATTTTAAATTTTGCTTAGTCTAGCATTATGCCGACAGAAGATACAACGGAACACGCAAAAAGTATGGTTATTGTATCTGCCAGTAAAAAAACTCTAGTATTAAATTTAGAACACTGTTATGCTTGCTAAATAACATATTGAAATTTTCTTGTCAAATTGATATGAATGTTAGAATTGTTAGATCAAAAGGTCCTATTAACTTTTAAATTTTAATAAGATTCACTAGTCGAATCATTCGTATTAATTTGATAAACAATATCTGGTAAGTGTTTTGGTTAGATCAACATTACTCTTGAATTAATAAATTCATAAGAATACACATATGTAGAGAACTCGTGAAAAAAAAAACTTTAACAGGAGTAATAGTGTCACAAGACAACTTGGAAGAATAATTTAAGAATAATGTTAAACAAGGAAATTAAAGAAATCTAACTGTAATTTACCTCTTTCTTTTTCTGAAGTCAACAATTCCTCCCATCAGGATCAACAAATATATCAACATGACAAAATTGTGCTTCGCAAATTTGTTTACCAAATATTGCATATGCAAAATCCTATGTATTGAATGTTTAGAGAAAGTTAATGGACCTTACTAATCAAATCACCCACAGTAATTTTGTATGCGAAATTGAAAAATAATTTGATAAACATATCTATGCTCCTATCATCAAATTCCATGCCATGGTTGGATTGTTGATCTGCTAAATAGTAGACTGATTAAATTTGGTGGTTCAAATAATGAGACAAAATAACATATCAACTAAATATTTCTGGACTCCCTTTGTTAGAGTAAAGACTGCCACATCATTTGGTTCTCAAATTCGATTAGAGTGGCATTGTTCTTACGACCTGTTTAATTTTCGGCGACTTAGTGTCACCCAGCTGCTTTGCGGTTTTGGGCACATTTTGATGTGCTTCCATACCAATGGTTTCATCCTATGGCCAATATTTGTTAGACTATTGGCAATTAGATGTACCCATTTTTGTTAGTATTGGATTCTTTTGTTTTTTATGAGCTTCATTGTGTCTGATGCAAATGTTTGGGAGATTGAAACATAAATAAAAAAAGAAGAAAACACAAGTATTGTGTGTTGTGTGTGTAGTGGCGGTCTTCTAGTCAATTTTTGGAGCTGAGCTAGGCACTTGCTATTGGTGCGACCGATCAAGACTCTTTCTTCTTTTTTTGTAGTGGTGTTGAACGTTTCCACTCGACTTCCCTTTTTATCATTTTTTTCATTCTTTTCTTTATGAGGTCGTTTTTAAGATTGTTGTACAAGTCTTCATAAGAAAAGAATGAAAAAATTGATAAAAAATAGGAGTCGAGTGGAAACATTCAACACCAATACGAAAAAAGAAGAAAGAGTCTCGGTCGGTCGCCCTGTAGTAAGTGCCTAGCTCAGCTCCAAAGATTGACGAGAAGGCCGCCACTGTACATTTACATGACCTCATAAGAAAAGAATGAAAAAAAATGCTAAAAAAGGGGAGGCGAGTGGAAACGTTCAACACTACTATGAAAAAAAAAGAAAGAGTCTCGATCGATCGTCCAGTAGCAAGTGCCTAGCTCAGCTCTAAAGATTGACCAGAAGACCGTCCCTATATATATATATATATATATATATATTGTTGAAAAAAATTGGATGCAAATAAAGTGAACGGCAAGGTAAGGCACGGACTAAGTCACTCTCGTAAGACGATTTGCACCCTTTCATGAAATAATCATAGTGCAGAAGGTTGTAACATGTCGTCCTCAGGATACGACAGTCCAGTTTATTGACTGTTGCTTTACTCAGATGTACACAATTGAATGAAGCAGAATCTTCACACACGCTTTTAAATATTGCCCAGAAACTTATATTGTAAAAAATTTCACACACACTTTTTATTGAGTATATTACTGTTTGATGTTACTAGTTTTTTGTTGAGTATGTTAATGTTTGATGTTACTATTTTTTTATTGAGTATGTTAATGTGTGATATTACTATTTTTTTGTTAAGCATGTTACTGTTTAATATTATTGTGTCGAATGGAATGGTTTTGTGTCGAGTGGAACGGGTTTGTGTCAACAAATCCTTCATCCATGTCCCATTTGTTTATATAAACGAGTTCAACTATTACATTTATACACAATTCATTTATTAGACGGGTTATCCGATATAACCCGAGTTCAACTATCAACGCCCATTACAGACCCATCTTGACATCAGAAGGTTACCAGAACCAAAACACACTCCCTTCGACCCAAAACAACCTTTGATGGCACGGTTAAGTACCCTTTATCAAAGGCTTTGGTTTCTGTCTCAAATTCTTCTCTTGCAGAGCCTTCGAGTTACACAGAAGATGTGAAGAGTCCACACTGGCGTGATACCATGAACAAATAATTTGATGCTCTACTTCACAATGGAACTTGGACATTGGCTCTGCCCTAATTTAGTTGGGAACTAATGGGTCTTTCGGATCAAATGCCATGCAGATGGGCGTATTGAACGCTTCAAGGCCTGACTAGTGGCCAAGGGCTACCACCACCAGAGAGGGATTAATTTCAATGAGACTTTTTGTCCAGTGATAAAACCTACCAGAATATGTTTGGTGCTTTCCATTAGAAACTAGACGGAAATGGCCACTACTTCTAATCGACATTCAAAAATGTGTTTCTCTATGGTGTTCTTTAAGAAGAAGTTTTTATGTGCCAGCCACGAGGTTTTGTTCATCCTGATTATCCGAACCATGTCTGTGATCTTCATAAAAGCTTTTATGGTCTTCTCCAGGAGCCACGAGCTTGGTTTTCTAAGCTTATAGATAAACTTCTTCATTTGGTTTTAAAGCTTAAAAAGCTGATAGCTCTCTGTATGTGTTGTATAACCATTAAGTTCCTGTCTACTTTCTCATTACGTAGACAACATTATTATCACAGGCTGAGGTACTTTGTTCATTGACCGAATTCTTAATAATTCAAGTATGCAGTTTCCAGTCAAAGATCTCAACAATCTAAACTAGTTTCTTGGAGTTGAACCATTGGATGTCCCTCACGGCCTCTTTCTAACTCAATAGAAATATATTGCTGACCTATTGTGGAAAACTAGCCTTGATCAAGCCAAGCCTTGCATCACACCAATGGCCACATCTTGTGATCTTTCATCCTATGAAGGCATAGATTTTGAAGACCCTCTGCTTTATCGCAGCACCGTTTGAGCATTACAATACTTATCTTTCACACAGTCTAATATAGCCTATGCCGTGCATCGGGTCAGCAAGTTCATGCATTTTCCCAAGGATCCCTGCTGGCAAGCTGTAAAACGCATTCTGCATTACCTCAAGAATTCATTTTCTCAGGGTTTACATATTTCAACTAATTTCTCCCATGATCTCTATAGTTTTTCAGACGCGGATTGGGCCGGAGATAGGGTTGATCGTCTCTCAGTAGGTGCTTATTACATCTTCCATGGCAAAAAACTCATTAGTTGGAGTTGTAAGCAGCAAAATACAGTCACACGTAGCAACAAAGAATCTGAATACAAAACCTTGTCTAATGCAACTGCAGAGCTTCAGTGGTTGTAAGCTATTTTAACCGATCTGCACATGCCTTTAGCTCAACCTCCAAACCACTGGTGTGATAATATCGGGGCCACTTACCTCTGTTCTAATCCTGTGTTTCCCGCGCAAACAAAGCACATTGAGATAAGCCTCCACCACGTTCGCGATTAGGTTCTCAGAAAATAGTTATAAGCCTGTTTCATATCATCCAAAGATCAGTTAGATGATCTCTTGACAAAGCCGTTTGCAGGAAAGCGGTTTACCCATCTTCGAAGCAATCTTCATGTGCATGAGCTGCCCACTCAATTGTGGGGCATGTTGAATCAATCCACACAAAGGAAACTGGCTCTACATAACATGAGGAGACCAAGTCTTCAGCTGAGGATCCTAGGAATTTGAATTTAGTCAAAATATAGCTGCGCATTTGGAGAGTCTATTACATCTCTCCTTCTATAAATAAGAAGGCTTGTTCATTAAATCAACTAAGTAAAGAAATACTATTTCTAAACCTCTATCTAAAATCCTATGTCCTCCACTTGTGTAATCTGGATTCCAAGACAAGATCTGGTTCCCACCATTGTTGGATTCCATGATTTTGCTTGAAATCACCAGAGGGGGTCCGATTAATATGCACATTCGCAGAAGGAAGATTCTGAATTTTTGAATTCTGTAAAGCAAGATTCTGAATTTTTTTAAGACATTTCCCTGTCTTCTTGTCCCTGTCCTTAAAATATTCAATATACCCTGAGCAAATAGGATCCGATGGATTCACATATATGTTTGGAACCCATTCAAATAATGCAGTGAATAGATTAGTTTGGTCGGTTCTTTGATGGCCCCTAACCAAAACAAATCCAGCTGTGATGAATTTGTTAGTGTTGTGGAATGCATTCCCCACCTTCTCATTATTGCTAGACTCTATAGGGAGAGAAGGGAATGGCGGATTGAAGAGATAAGTTTCTAGATCATAACCCTTTTTGAACATGTTCCTTCCGGCCAACAGAGCTATTGCGGCACCCAAAGAATGTCCTGCTAACCAGATATTCACAGGCTTATTAGCTTCAGATAAATCAACCATTTCCTGCACAGCTTTCCATGCTTCCTGAAAGCGGCTCCTCTGTTCGAGTATGTTAAGAAGGAAACTAAAATCCAACTTGAAATCCTGAAACATGGTGTCTAGTTTGATGAGGTTTCCTCGAAAGGCAATCACATATGCTGGTGGCGTCGATTGGGGAGATGAAAAGTTGTACGCGTAAACAGCACCAATTATGGATTTATCGTGGCAATCAAATAGGTGCTTTGTTAATATAAAATGAAAGTCCAGCCACAAGGGAGCTGCATGAACTTGAGAACATTGACTTTGTCGGGCAAGTTCTAACATGTACACTCGCTCAACCAAGCAGGCAGCTACGGATCTTCGGAACTGTTGGTTGTTCCTGCAACAATGTAGCATCAAATCATGTGGTCAGAAGATCTTACAAGATCAAAGTTGATTATAACAAGCCGCCAGCCCTGCTGGATTGGCTCGAGATGATTGAAGATCTAAGGCGGCAAATCTGAGTATTGAGTCTTTTTATATTTTTTTTGAATATTTTTTCACTTTTCAAGGTATAAAAATTATTAATTAAATTAATGGTATCATATTGGTTTTAGTTAATAGTATAATTAATTTTCTTAATTATTTTTATAACACAATAAATTTGAGGCAAAAAAATAATGAGTAGTTGATTATTTCTATCTTTTACGGTTTATATGACAAAAAATATATTATAACCTAAAATGACATAATATTTTCTCGCAATGATGTAACTTGAGACCTTATTTTTACTTTGTAAAAACAACCTGGGGGCCTTAATTTTTCATTGGGCCTAAAGTCATCGCTTTGATGGCCTTAGGCTTCAGCCAGCCATATCAGTGAGATGCATGAAATTTACAATTATACTCGATTTTTTAAAAATTTTCTGTGACATTACTTGGCGAATTGGATAAGAATTATGATAAATTGTAGGGTGACGCAAATAATTTTTTAAAAAACTTAATAGGTGGTAGTTAATTAAGGGGTGGGGTAGTTACATGAGAAACAATATGATTTGATAAAATCTAGAATTGTAATTACATAAATAAAAATTCAAAGAAAAAAAAAGAAAATGAAGAGTGAAGGCATATCAATTCCTCTTCCAATTTGTTTGTAATAATATATCATATAGATATGCCAAAGCCAACTTGAAAAGAATAATTCGGGCAATAAAAATTCCAATAAATTGTTGTTTCAGTTAGAATTCACCACATATTTTATCTTTTCACTTAAATCGTTAATGGTAAAAAACGCGGGCAATCAAAGAGTAAGAACTGCACAATCGAGCTGCCTAATTCTACCCTGACCTTACCATTTTTATGTTTGCTTGTTCTGAAGTAGGTAAAACCCATTGGTGACCACAAGCTGGACCAGGAATATACCCAGTCCAAAGCAATGGTAGAACTTCTTCCAGCACGATTGGAATTTCCCAGCAATAGCATCATAATGTGAAACAATTAAACAAACAATACTATGGGCGTAGAACATTCTTACCAATCAGAGTGCGTTGGCCCCGAATGGTAGAAAGATTCTCTCTGAGAGGACATTGGCCAAAAATATTCCACTTTTTGTGTCTTCTTGATATCCTCAAACAGACATCTGTCAAGTGGAAGGAGAAGCACATACATGAATAGTATATGTTGTACAAACGTGTAAATGCATTGCTAATGTACAACGAGAATTAGAATTTTCACATCATAAATCTCTATTTCCACTCCATTTAATTTTTTGTTATTAAACTACTAAACGCACCCCTTCTATTCTCACTTCATTAATAATTAAGTTCACCTCATCCTAAACTCACTATATATTTTGTCATAATTATGGTTTCCTTCTCGATTTTATCTCATGCACTTATAAAAACACTTTTTAATATGATTTTTTTTAATGAGATACAAGTTAATATTACTTCTCAATTTAATTTTATGTTTGATTTCATGCTTGTATAAATTTTCATTATTTTCAGTAAATTTTGACATCTCTTTCAAGTTTAATAATTTTTTATTTAGAATTTACATGTGTGTATATATATGCATGTTTTCAGATTATTTGTTCTTTTTTATTTTATTTAGGTTTTACATCTATACTTGTTATTTTTCTTCTTGTTCGATTTTGTGTCGGTGCTTATTTTTTTTTCATGTTAGTTTTGCATCTGGTAGTTTTGCTTATTGCTTTAATCTTTGCTTAATTGTTTTCATTCTTGTTTCAGTTTGCTTCTTTCTTTCTTTCTTTTTGTTATTTTGTTATTTTCTTCTTTTTTTTTTTTGTTTCGGCATGCTTTTTTTTTTTTACCTTTTTTTTTTCCTGCCAAGAGCACCATTGAACAAGAAATTTCTCTTGGTGGCTACGAATTACTTTACCAAGTGAATCGAAGTCGAGCCCTTAAACTGCATAAGGGATGTCGACATCAAAAAGTTCGTCCGGCAGAACATTATCAATCTATTTGGGATACCGCAGTCTTTGGTGTCAAACAACGGCACACTATTTAATAGTGGTCCATTTAGAGAATATTGCTAGGGTTTCATGATCCGTAACTATTATTCGACTCCCGAACACCCACAATGCAACAGACAGGCTGAAGTCTCCAACAAAATCGTGTTGGTAGGGATCAAGAGGAGGTTGGAGAAGGCCAAAGGGAGATGGACTGAGGAGCTACTCAACATATTGTGGGCATACAGGACTACCCCGAGGCAGTAATACCTTTGGAGATGGGGCTCTCAATTATACGAAGCCAAGCATTCGACTCGGGGATGAACGATCAGACCTTAGTCCGAGACCTCGACCTAGCGAAAGAAAGGGGGGAGGCAGCAACCATAAGACTGGCTAAATACCAAGGGGAGCTATCCGGACAACATAAGAAGAAGGTGAGAAAGGAGTTTCCAAGTAGGCGACTTGGTTCTCCAAAAAGTAGTGGGGGCACACAACAACCAAAAGATGGTAAACTTGAACCCAATTGGAATATAAGGTCGTTGCTGCAGAGGGCACAGGGTCTTATAGGCTTGAGGACATGGAGGGGAACAACGTAATCCAACCTTGAATCGTTTCAAATTTAAAGAAATATTTTCATTAACAAAGGTTAACGAGCATATAATAAACCGAGTCCCAGCGGAAGATAACAGGCTCAATCGTTAGGTGTACGGTCCTGAGGGGGGTAAGCCTCCCCAAAGAAAGCACCGCCCTCGAAAAGATAACATGACCCTTTCGTTCGATCGTTAGGGTGTATAATCCCGAGAGGGGTAAGCCTTACCAAAGGAAGGATCGTCCTAGAAAATATAACACGAGTATTGTGCTTGGTCATTAGGGGTACGACCCCGAAATGGGTAAGCCTTCCCAAAGGAAACACCACCCTCGAAAAGATAACACGAGGTTTACGCTCGGTCGTTAGGGGTACAAACCTGAGAGAAGTAAGCATTCCCAAAGAAGCACCGCCCTCGAAAAAATAACACGAACCTAACGCTTGGTGGCGAGGGGAACAACCCTGAGTCAAACTGGATATACGAGCTATTTAAAAGGATGAGGGCAAGTCAAAAAAAAAAAAAAAAAGAAGAAACTAGATTCAAAGCAGGGAAAATCCTAAGGATAAAATCCCCCTTGGGGCCATAATCATTAGTTCTTTCCTCCGCCTTCCAGACCGCCGTCCCCACGACCTTAGCCAAGCTGCCTCTCGAGCGCGTCTTCATCTCCAAGTTCAGCAATATATCTTGTCCATCTCGTTAAAGTCACCAAGATCCGAATGGACTGTAGGAGTTTCGGGACCCTAGGGGGTTCACAGGGAGAGCCCGACATAGTTGGGGAAGGAAGCCTGAAGGGAGACATTATAGAGGCCACCGAGACGCAAGTCCTTTGGGGTCGTTAACTAAACCAAAGATGGTGGTCAGGACATCATTATTATAATCCTAAAGTTACCCATATCTGCATGGGTGATTATTGGTACCTTATGTGAGAATTTATGTCCAAAAAGACTTGTTCCATAGTAGTTAGACTTAAATGGTGGTCGGTCCCTTGAGATAACCGCTTTGTTCGTTTACTACTTGTATGGGTTGCGGAGAATGATAAAATGAAACTCTTCATACTATCACATGTATTGCCATAGACCCATGAAAACTCTATATGTTTAGGCAACTGGTGGGCTCTAGGACCTATAAATGTGAGTCTTTGTGCAGCTCAAGCACCAAAAGTTGCATAAAACCTCTTGGAGACGAATTCAAGGATCTAGACTCAGGAGTACTCCTTGTTTAGGGAGGTGATATGAGACTTGTGGGTAGACCTTGAACCCGGGTAAGTCTTTGTATGGACAAAGCACCGAATACCCTATATGTTGAGGCACTTAGTGGGCTCCAGGCCCTAAAAATAGTGACTCTTTGTGTGGTCAAAGCACCAAAATTCTTATTGCAGGAATAAAACCTCTTGCGGACAGTTTCAAGGATCTAGACATGGGAGTACTCCCAGTTTAGGGAGGTGATATGAGACTCGGGATTAGGCCCTGAACACGAGTAAGTCTTTATACGGCCAAAGCACCGAAATCCCTATATGTTTGGACACTTGGTGGGTTGCGGTCTTAAAAATGGGTAAGCCTTTGCATGACCAAAGCACTGAAAGTTCTATTATAGGTACAAAACCTCTAGGGGACAAGTTCAGGAACTGACACTTAGGAGTACTAGTTGTTTAGGGAGGTGACAGAAAACTTTGGGTTGGACCCTGGATATAGTGCAATACAATTATGAGAAAAAGAACTGGTCCAACATCAACATGCATGTTCGAAGGTCAGACATAAATGTTCTCGCAAGCAAAATTTGAGAGGACCTTGAATTGTCTAACCATGGTTTTAGTACATTCAAGACTTGGTTTCACAAGGTACACTTTTATTTATTTCAATGAAATGTTACTTAAACATGACACAAAAAGAAAGGCTCAATGTCGAATTGATCAACTCAAGATTATTGAGGCCAAATGGCATATATGTTTGGGCATTCTCAATGAGCCAAGTGTATTCGATATTTCTCAACAATGACATAATTATTTGGACCTTTTCTGAGGGCCAAGGTTATTCCGACTCTCTTTAGAGGACTCAATTATTATTGTCCTATTAAGGACTCGACCATACTCAGCATTCATTGTATTCAATTATATTAACCCTTCGTAGGGCTCAAATATTATTATCCCCATCAGATTTGGATACAAAGTAGCCAGGGTTATCCTAATAAGGATTTAGATCTCTTTAACAGGCATCTAGTCATCTTCAGTATTCCTTAAACCCCTTAATAAGACACTTCATCAATGCTCGGCCACAAGGGGCTGATATGTTTGGGGCCTCTCTATTCAGTCCCTCTTGAAGAAACTCAGGTATTCGGACCTTGGACCTTCCCCAGATATCATGCTCGTTCAATCCCATTCTAGGGACGTAGTACATTCGGCACTTTAGGGATCATGTTTATTCGGTCCTTTTGCGACCAACTTTATTTAGTTCTTCTTCAGGCATTCGTGGTTGCTCTTTAAAGGCAAGGCTTATGTAGTCTCTATTCAAAGAATCGATTATATTTATTATTGGCCTTTCTTGGTGGAAAATGTTTGTCTTGGAAGGCGCATCATCATCACCTTATCTATGACTCGATTATTATTATCCTTTTCGAAATTCAATTCAATTATGATCATCCTCTTTGGAACTTGGATGTTATCGTTTCTTTGTATATGGATATGACTCAAATATGGTTGCCTTATTTGAGATTCGGCTTCTCTCCGACGACATTATTTGGCCTTTCAACGAGGGACCTCATTATTGCTCAACGAAAAGGATTTCTCATACGTAACATTGTTATCAGTTGGGCTTAGCACTGTTATATTCTTGTTCCTTTGATCGACCTTTGAAATATCGACTATGGCACCTCATAGAAGTTTGGGGTAGTTGACAAGACATTTTTGTGGTGAGTCTCATCATCTGACAAAAGAGGCTGCACCAACTGGAATACAGCTCAAGGGGCCAGGATTCCAAGAAAGAAATTTCAGCTTCTGACTAACTACACCAATAAAAAATGAGTACAATATACAAGTATCTTTCTTTCTCTCTCTCTCTCTCTTTCTTTATAAATATAGGTAAAACCCCAAAGGTAATTGGCCTGGTATGAGAACTCTCAGCTTCATATCTCACACACAAATTCTTACTATTTCTCAGTTCTATGCACTTACATGTTCGATTATTGATCATAATATTGATTTAGGCATCGGAGGGACTTCCCCTAACTCAACATTGGGGTCCCTCTAACCTCATGTTGGTTTTGTAGCTCGAGGACTGGATGATATTCGAAGACTAGGGGTGCATTGTTGGTTTGTACAGCGGATAATTAATACAAATAATACTTGTTCAAAGATAGGAATTTAAAGATAGAAAAATAATAAAAATATGACACAAAGATATAATATAGTTTGATACAACATACCCACCTTAGTACACCGTACCTATATCCACAGACCAAAAATCTACATCAATGTATTATTTACTGAAAAACTAATCATTCGGTAACTGATTACATAATTGATGCAATGCAATCTG